ACTATCAATAAACGCGCATAACTTTATTCTCTTTTTATTCTTCATTACAATCATATCCCCTTTTTTTTTCATATGTTTTTCAAAATTAGTGGAGATATAACTGGGTATATAGAATATATAGCAGTCAGATAGGATTTCACATTTGCTGATTTTGCTGTATGGTCGACACAGCACGTTTTCGTCCAACAGACCTTAAAAGAAGAATCGAATAGAAGTTATAAATAAAAACTTCCTATACTTCTAAATAAAAGGAATCTTGTACTTTTGCTCTTTTAAACACAATCTTTATTTGTTGGTAAGTTGTTTCATTGTCCGGCAATAGCCTTTCAAAAAGAACCATGCTTTTTAACTTTGGAGACCTAATTCTTTATGAAAAACAACGTTATTACGATCATTTTAATGTAATAAGTTAGAGTACATTGAGGGCTATCAGGAAATGTACGGTTTTTACAGAAGAGGGAGAAATTAGAAGCAAAAATATTTTTTATAATCTATTTTATTCGCTAATAAAACTATTCTGATCCACATAATCATAAATTTATTGTTACCATCAATTAATATTCTCTCCTAAAAAATAATTGGTGATACTAGCATTCATTACATTCTTTAATTGGTTCCTAATTGGATCTTAATTATATTTTTTAATTATATCAAACTTAATCTGCAAAGGATTCGGTTGTTGCATTTAAGCTCCGAACAAATGGAATTGAGTTAAATTTTAAAGTGATTCGAATTCCAAAAAACTGGATTCGATAAAATTTCTTTTAATGTCATATTAATAGGGTTTTTATTCGAACGATTCGTTTTATTTGTTATGAATTTGAGTATTCGATTTTTATTTGGATAAAATAAATAAAACGAATAATTTGGATAAAATAAATATAATATAATAATAATGAAAAAAACGAATATAATAATGACAAATGACAAATGACAATAATTACATTGTTGAGAATGATGCCTCTTCAATTACTTCTTCAACAGGCACATTGCAATATGTTCAAAGAAGAACAAGGAGTAAAGTGTGGAACTATTTCACAGTTTTAACTTTCAAAACCATTTATTTACAGAAGCAACTCTCTTAAAATTATTTCATATTAATATGATATATAACTGAATTAGATTTGAATCAAATTATTTATAGTTCGAATTCCATTGATTTGTTTGGATTCTTAATCATAGCTAATAAAAGAAAATTAACACAGAACCATAAATAACCTAAAAAGGATTTACTTAACTCATGTTTAATTATCAGTATAGCGAGGATATTTATACTATCTTTTAAAGATTAAAGTTAAAAATAAATTTGACAAAAGAGAATTGGTGTGGATTGGTTTGGTTTCCTTTAATTATTTTCTCTGGTCTCTCTTTTAGGTGAATTTTCTCACCTATCTTTTTTGTAATTTTTTGTAGTTTGTTCTTTTTCCTTGATTCTTGGCTGTCTCTGTTTGCTCTAATTTTCAGCTAATTGTCTTTCTCCATTTTTTAAGGCATCCAAGTGTATTTCATTACCTCTCTCAGCATTCTTAGCTTATTGCTTTCAGTATTCAATAATTTTGATTATTGTGTCCATTTCTCTATTGTTTAACAAGCACCTTTTTCAATTATCTTTATCTTCATCAGTTGGTTTTTGTAGTATTTTAAAACTATTTCAGCAATGATTTTTTCAAGGTTTCTCTTCCCTTGGTTAATTCATCTTTTTTCCTTGCAAAGTGCTTTTCTAAAATTAATTCTCCAATCATTAAATAATTTGATATCAAATATTTAGTTACTTCTGCTTTTGTATAGTTGTAATTTTTTCTTATTAAATCTAATAATATTTCTTCTAATTCTTCAGATTTCTCTTTTGATTTTTGATTATTTTCAAGTGTTTGAATTTCTTTTATTAACATAATGTATTATTGTCACTGATTAAATTTGGGAGAGCGTATTTTAATTGGTGATAACAATTATTTTTGTTTTTGCGTGGATCAGAATGAATAGGGG